CTTGTCTCCATAGTGAATCCAGGACAACTGGGGCTACGGGGAGACCCTGTCTCAAAAAGACAAAAAAAAAAACCTAAATCAAACCTTTTCTGACTTGGCTGGATTACTCAAGAAGCTTTGGCTAGGATTTTTGGCCGGCCACAGCACTGGGTGGAGGAATTTGTGGAGGACAAAGAGCTGTGGACAAAGGCCATCTGAGTAGGGCAGGACCAAAGGCCAGGGGTGGGTGGTGCAGAGCAGGCTGAAGGCGGGAGTTATCCAGGGCTCAGCCTCCAATGTGTTTTTCTATTAGAGCTGTTTTGACTTTTTTCTAGAAACTTAATATACACCCGCAGCCACTCCCTGTCTCTGAATGTTTCTTAGGAAAAGCGCCTTCATGTGTACAGCCCCTGTCACTGGTTCATTGTGGCTCTAAGCCATTGTCTAGTCTGGGTCTTGTCTGGCTTCCAACAGTTCTGCTTTTATTTCAACAAAACAAAGAATGCACGGACAGAAAATCATTCCCAGCGCCTCAGATGACAGGAGTGGCCCTCTGATCGCCGAGGGCAGTGGATCTGGTATAACCCTTTGGAGAGAAGTGTTCACAGAGGGAGACGTGGTGAGCCCAGCCTCAGACAGAGCTCACACTGGCTGGTAAGGCTGCAGGCAGAGCTCAGGAGATCTGAACGTCTTGGCCAAAAATGCCAAAGCATCTTGTGCCAATTCAACATAACAGTCAGGAATTTAACAGAGCACTCAGCCCCACCTGATGCTTCCGCCCCAGTAGTAAATAAACAGACATGGTCCCTGCAGGGCTCAGGGTCCGCAGCTGCCAGTGGAGCAGGTGTGGCTACAGGACGATGAGCCGCAAGCTCTTTCCTATGAACCCCTCCTCAAGTGAAAAGAATGTAAGAAAAACAGTCATAATGAGACCATAGTTACCAAATATGCCACACACACACACACACATACACACACCCCTTTATTAACACAGTCACTCACAAAGTCAGACCATGGATGGTTATAACTTCCATAACCCTGAAACAGTATTGAACATAAACAACACTTGGAGACATGTGTGACAGCTGCACCAACCTAAAAATACACGTGACTGGATGCCAGACCCTGCAAACACCAGAGGAGCTTTGCCTTGTGCCTGTGTAACTGAAGGAAAGCCATCAGTCAGAGCCAAGTCACAGTAAGGACATCATTTCCTACACATCCTCATAAGTCCCTATGCTCTATCCAGGGCCCTGACAGTACACAGACCCCAGGTGACAGCCCTGCTCTAAGACTTCCAACAGCCAATGGGGAGACACTGTTCCTATACGCAAGTGTAGGAAGTTCACAGCCTAAACAGCAAACAAGAGCCTGCAAGATGGCTCAGTGGGTAAAGGCACTTGCCACCAAGCCTGACAGCCTGAGTTCAATCCCCGGAACCTACGTGGTAGAAAGAAAGGACCGACACCAACACACTCCTCTGACCTCCACATATGCACTGTGACACACAAAAGAACATGTGTGCACGCGTGTGCACACACACACACACACACACACACACACACTCTAAACAAAATGTAATTAGTTAAAAAAAAAAAAACAAAAACCAAGGAGCTAGGGAAGTCAACTACTGCACAAGCACAAAGACCTGAGTTTGCTTCCTGGAACCCGTGTAAATAAAAGTCAGGGTGACAGTGCATTTGTAACCCCAGTGTTGGAGAAGCAGAAAAAGGCAGATCCTAGGGGCTCCCTGGCCAGCCAGCCTGGCCTACTTAGCCAGCTTCAGGTCAGTGGGAGACACTGTTCAAAAAACAAGGTGGCCAGCTCCTGAAGAACAACAGCAAGGTTGTCTTCTGGCCTCCACATGCACCAACACACATGCGCCCTCCCCCCTTACAGACACACACACACACACACACACACACGAAACGGCACGAGCTGTGGGACCAAAGCCTCTCAACACTGAGAAACCAGGGGGCCTTGTCCCCAAGGGTCCCTGCTGAGAGCTCACTAGGGAGCTTCATGGTCTATGCTGCCCTAGGAACCAGGGATGGAGGCATCTGTCTTTTCCCTTCAGCATGTGTCTATTTGCTCTTTCACTTTGTGCCGTGAGTTAAGGCAGGCCCTCCCCGGCGCCCTGCTCCTGGACTTCTCAGCCCCCAGAAATGTGAGCCAAAATAAACCTTAATTCTTTATAAATCAGCTGGTCTCAGATATTCTGTGATAGTAACAGAAAATGGACAGAGAGAGTTTCTGAAGGGCCTCTGGGGTGGAGAGTTGAGAGAATCAGTGTTACTGAGACCCCTTTGAGCCATATCAAGTCAGCCTCGGGCCATATCAGCTGGCCTGGACTGCTCTCCGTTACCAGTTCAGAACATCACTGCTGCACCATGACTCCTGCAATCCACCTCCATGGCTGTCACTATGCACAGTCACTTGTCACTCCTAAACCATACCAAGGGAATGTGTTCCTGGGGATGTTTCCCATGGCCAGGGCCACACTCTCTATGCCTCAAGGCCAGAGGACCTAGCATTTGTCCTGGGGGTCCAGACCTATATCACTTTTCCCACCACTATGGCCAAATACCCGACAGAAGCAACTTGAAAGGAAAGGATTCTGTATCTCTAGGTTCCAGGGATAGAGTCCATCATGCTGGGGAAGGCACAGCTGAGGGACCAGTACCTGCCTAGGGTGATGAAGACTGCCTGCTCATATCTCTGCAGATCAGGAAGCGTGTTGGGGGGAGGGGGCAGTGCTCAGCAGCCTTTCTCCCTTTTTATTTAGCCCTGCCTGGCCTCCAGAGGATGGTACCAGCCATATTCAAGG